TTTTTATCAACAATTGTTAAGTCTGGGGTGTTGTGTGGCAGGTGCTTGTCTGTTTGAATTCTAAAGTCCCAGAGCTTTAGCTTCTTCATCTTCTATTACTTTGTCTGCTTTGTGGTCCCACCAGCTCTTGCTTGCAGACAAATGGTGCTTCTTGTAGATATTCCAATGCACCATTGTTGCTACTTTGTCATGCTGTTGTTTGTAGTCAGTCTGTGTAATCTTTTTGCAGCAGCTAACTAGGTGGTCTACTGTTTCTTCAGCTTCTTTGCAGAATAATAATAATAGTAATAATAGTAATGGTAATAGTAATTTGAAAGCTACATACTTATCAGGCCTGCATAGGCCTCTCCAAGACTACCATAAACTTTTTTTTAACACTTTGTTTGTGTTATCAAATTTCAAGGCTGCCCGACTCCTTAACAACTCTCAGCAGCTTACAAATAAAAGCAATACACATAAGAAGAAACCCAACCAACCAGAAGAACAGAACACAAACTACAAACCAAACATAACGGAAGGGGGCTCCACAATTGTCCCCAAGGGCTGGGAGACCATAAGCTAATATAATAATTTTTCACCCTCTTTTAAAGTTACAAATAAAAAAAAAAACTCTTCTCCCCATAGCCTAACTTTTATCTATACACAGTCCAGAAATGGTCATCTTTTCAGTCCTGGTTCAGCAAAAAGTCATTAGGAGTTACCAGAAATATCAAACAAATAATTTATCCCTAATCAAATAGTCCAACTATTTTTTGCTCTTCACAATCTTAACCTTTGAATCATTCCAATGGCAGCGCAGGATTTGATCTTTCATCCATCTTTGGCATTCAAGAGGAGCCTTCAAAGCTTTCATCAGCCTACTTTGTAAAACCCATAAAGAGGCATCATCCAGGATTTCTTGTCACAGCTGCTTCATGTCCAGATCCTTTTCTTGATTTGTCTTTTGCATTCCCATTTTGGTGATCTTAATGTTGTTGTCTTCCATGCCTTCATACTCTATAATGTCTATATCAGATAAAAGTTTTTAAAAATTTTTCTCATCATCTTCTAAAAATTCATCCATTGAAATCTGTATCCTTTCTGAGATTTTAGTTATTAATATATCAGTCCAGTTATCAAAAAACTATTTAAGATAAGAAAAGGTTATAGCCGCCGTAGACATTTTACTCTTTTCTGCCTGGTCCTTTAGTTCCCTCTAGTGTCCATTTGCAAACTTCATCAAGCCTCAGTTCCTAATATGGGTTTAGTTCTGTTTCAATAGTTTCCCACGAGTATATTATTTAATTATATATTTGCCTTTCAGATCTTACAGCAAAAATAACCAATATTCCAATTCTCTCTGATCTCCTAATCAATTTAAAGCGTTCTTAAATCAAAATCCTTCTTTTTTGCTTTTTGCCAATTGTATATTATTTTAAATTCTTAAGTCTCTGTTTAAATTTTTTTTAAATCAAAGAAGGTAAAACTCACAAGTGTCAAAATAAGCTCACCATTTTGAAGGTCTCTATCCATAAAGTGGTTAAATTGGACATTTCCAAATGTGATTAGAAAGTGAGTTCAGCTGGCTTAGTGTTCTTATTAAAGGTTCCGCCACTGCTAAGAGCAAAGATATCATCTCCCTTGGCTCCTGATGCTCAAACCTGCAGAAGATTGCTGTTTTATGGTCTCCTTGCGAGGAACTGCCATTCAGAGCACACATGGGCGAACTCTTGTTCTCTCCTTCTCCAGAGAGCTTCAAAGGACAGGTCTACTTGCTGGTCTTTAGTTCTACACAGTGTCGTTGTCTCTGCTCATTTGTGGAGACATCTTCAGTCAGCCATGACTCACAGCAGAAGCTGGGTCTAGTCTCATTCAAGGCTGAGGAAACCAATCCTTCACTCAAAGAAGCCAACACCACCACATGGAGCCAACCATAGGTCACCTCCTGGGTGTTTTTCACCATCTAGGAGAGACCTGGATCTACCAAGCAGGCAGCCAAGCTTGTAGACTAGAGAACCTTGTCTAATTCCTTGGGAGTCACAGAATCAAACTTGCTCTAGATAATCCTACAAGACTTTGCCTTGGGCACCTCAACTGGATCTATCCAGTTGGAATCCAACTGAGTCACTATCTGCCAGATAGCAAGAATATTCCTCACAGCAGCCCTGCAGATGGTCCTGTGATCTGTCCATCCCCAGCAGCAACTGGGTTGCCTTAAACAGCACTGCTGGGTGGCTACAGGCAAACGGAATAAGGGCAGAGAACTCCCAAATTCTCTCAAACTATCATGAACTTTAAAAAAAACACTTCTACAAGCTATGCTCTTTGGATAATGTTTGCTTGCTTGCTTGTTAGTTTATTTATTTATGGAATTTATTTGGCTGCCCAACTAGAACACTGAGTGACTTACCCTAAACCAACCAACCAAAAAAACCTCCAAAAAACAAAACCAACAATTTCAATTAAAATCAATACAAAACCCATAGTACGTAATCAGCAACTCACAATTATTGCCCTCCTCCGAACAGGAATTCCAGTCATCCTAGCCCCAGTGCCCAAGAAAAGAGCCAGGTTTTTAGTGCCTTCTAAAAGGTAGCAGGAACAGGACCAACTGTATGTCAGGGAGGGGGGATCATTCCAAAGGGCAGGCACTGCAACAGAAAAGGCATGCCTCCTAGGTCCAATTAGGTGGCATTGCTTTAAAAAAGGAACCCAGAGTATCCACCCTGTTACAGCATGTGGGATGGGCAGATATCACTGGGGAGAGGCAGTCCTACAAATAGACTGGTTCTGTGCCATGTAGGCTTTATAGATGATCACCAGCTCCTTAACTTGCACCCAGAAGCCTATGGGAAACCAGTGAAGCTTGTTAAGTGGTATTACAAGGACATACTGAGGTACTCCCATAACTACCTAGACCGCTGCATGCTAAGACAGCTGCTTTCATACACACAGAATCTCTTACAGAGGTGTTTTGTTGTTTTCTATTTTAGTCTGGCAGAATTACTACATATGCACTTATAAACTTCTCTGTTGATTTCAACATCTGTAGCTTCTTGTTTCATCTCTATCTGACAGAGATTAGAAAAATCTCATTTCACTTTTTGTTTTGGTGAGAAAAGGTGTAAGCTGTTCGTATCACAATAGTTGCAATTATGCACAAACATTGCTTTCTTGTTGAAATGTAGTTACTTTTTCTTATAAGATTGCATATCAAAGTTTGCTATTTGTGAGATGTAATGCCACCTTGACAAAAGTGATAAAAGTTATGGGCACTTATTGTGATATCATTAATATATAACACCCGACTTTTCCTGCATTCTTCTGAGAACATTTACATACTGAATAATGTTAAAAGTTGTGTTCTTAGTGACCATATGATTTCTGGCTACACAGTCTTGACAGTAAATACCTGTTTATCCCATAGTAAGGATAAAACTATATATAGTCTCTTATCTTGCTGTCTAGTGAATTTTCAGTTTATGTTTTCATTAGTCCTAATAAACAATACTAACTTACTATACATCTCATCCTGTAAGGTATTATGACATTGTTTGTTCATCAAGGTTTCTGAAAATACCATCCTAAGAATAAATGCAACTGTACTTTTTTCATATAGAAAGCTCCATATCCCATTATCTCAATCTGGATTATCTCTAACCTTCTTTAACATATACTGCCTTGAATAGAAAAGAGTTGCACACTCACCTAGTGTCGATCCACTGAAGGTAGATTCCATAGTGTAACTATTCAGTATTCCCATTCTCCACATCACAACCCGTCCAGTTCCTTCTTTACACTTCTGAACTTGAAATTTACAGCTGTTGAAACAAAACTGAACATCCAAATTGTTCAAGTTAGAATTATTACAGTATCAGAGATATTTCTTTTTTAATGCATTGTTGGATCAGGCCAAATAAATAACTAACACTCAATAGTCCATCAGATGCATTTTTAAAAAACACTCTAGAATGCAGTTGATTGAGAGCCAGTTTGGTCTAGTGGTTAAGGCGCCAGGCTAGAAACCAGCAGACTGTGAGTTCTAGGCCTGCCTTAGGCATGAAAACCAGCTGGGTGACTTTGGGACAGTCATTCTCTCTCACAGGATTTTTGTGGTGGAGAAAATAGGAGCCAGGAGTATTAGGTATATTCACCAACTTGAGTAATATATAAAAAAGGCAGGATAAAAATATAATAATAAAAATAGTATCTCTCTAAAATTACAAACTGTGTATCTTCTAGGGATTGTTGGCACACAGTGTTAAACCATCTTGTGATCTGCTTGGATTAGCTTGATGTCAAATCAAATACAATTCTAGTTAGAAAGTCTGGGCTAGCAAATCAGTGTTTCAGAATATTATTTGTTATGCTCTAACATTGCTTCTGATTGGCTATATGAAATTCGGGCATATAGATATAGGAACATTTTTTTTAAATAAACATCTTCAAACAATATTTATACATGGCCTCTAAATAATGTGGCATTCTGAGCTGGAGGACGTCATTCTCCAGCTTCTGGCAAAGTGCACACTTCCCTTCCCACCATCTTATGCTTGGATTCTGCCTGACCTTCATCTGCAATTGTTTTCCAGTCATCATTCAGGCCCATGTACATTTTCCAAGCAAAGTGTTTTCAATTAATTCCATCTTACATTAAAAAAAGGAGAGGAAAGGTCACTACAACTTGCAATATGTGATATTCAGCATTGCTTTCTCCTATACATTGCTTTTTGAAAAGAAATCTACATATACAAAGAGGAAAGGTAGAGCGACCAAATTATATTTCCTAGAGGAACACATAATGAACACATAACGGCTTCAAAAGCATTTCCTGTGTTGACAACAGTGAAACCCATGGCTTCTTTTTTGGTTAGAGATATAGTTTTAATTTTCAGATCTGCACTAATTTACCTGGTTTCTTAGAAATAAAAAGGTTATTTTTGTTTACTTCTATTTTTATGAGTTTATATTAATATTGTTTGTTGTCTGCTTATACTGACTAATTTACATTTGTAAAATGTAAGAAAAATCAATATCTGCAACCCCCCTACAATCCTCCAGGATTGAAAAAGAAGATAAATTGCACAAATAAGTTTCTGTTCCAAATTTCACCACCAAATTAAAAGAAAAGGCTTTTACATTCATTACAAATGGCACAATAACAAAAGTACAAGTCAGAACATGTAATTTAATTAAGCAAAGAAAAAATCTGGGTATTGTAATAAGCTTTTTTGGAAAGAAAAGGTATTTTCCTATCATGAGAAGTCTGAATAAAATGATATTTGTGAAATTTGGAGACTTTATGGTGAATTAATTAATGTACTGAATTATAGTTTGCATATAAAATACACCCAGGCCCTACCTTATCAGGAATATTCTTGCTCATCATAAGAGGAAAGATTCGCTCGTGAAGTAACTGATCTTGTGCATTTTTGTTGTTACAGCCGTACATGAAGATATTGTTCTTTCGGCTATGCCCATGGATATCACAATATAGCAGAACTTCACGTTCCTCTAGGACTCTTTCAGAGAAGGGATACAACACACAAGTGAAAAAACTGAGATCCAAGAAAACATCTGAATGTCTGATTTCATATAAATAAACATATAAACAACGATACTATATTGTTTTTTTCCTGCACTTATGTGGCATAATCAAACAATTAGGAATTTGAAAATTCCCAACTGACTGATACATCTTTAGCTAGTTTTAAGTAGTTATTTAGAATAAATGGCTGGCTGATTGTAGGTTCCCTAGTAAAACTGGTACAATAGCTGTAATCCAAGACACTTCTGGCAAGAAAACAAAAGCAAAAGAATAACTTTATAAACAAGAAATAAAAGAAAAAAACACTGAGAGATTCTCTGGCACTTTTGTCGAAACTGACCAAACACAAAATGTGGATAGCCCTTAAAAACATGGGTGTACCAGGCCATTTTACCTGCTTATTGAAAAATAAGTATGATATCCAGGAAGCAACAGTTAAAACAGAAGAATATAGAGCAGCTATATGGTTCTAAATTGGGAAAGGAGTGTTCAGAGGTTGTATACTCTTACCTTATTTAGCTATATGCAGGATATATCATGAGAAATGCTAAAATTGCTGGAATCAATATCTTGATGATACCACTTAATGGCACAAGTGAGGAAGACTTAAATAATATCTTACTGAAGGTGAAAGAAGATAATGCAAAAGCTGGTCTGCTGTTGAGATTATGTCAATAAGCAGTGCTATCCCAATGTGATATAGGTAGAGAAGAAGTTTTAGTAGTAACATACTTCATCTTTCTAGGCTCAGATATCCTAGGGATGGTATGTCAGAAGCTATGGAAAAAAATAAGATGTCTACTCTTGGGAGAAGTATGTTAAATTCAGTCAGGTTTCAGGCCTGGATATAGGACGGAAACAGCATTGGTTGCACTCATGGATGATCTCTGACAGGAGCGGGATGGGGGTAGTGCATCCAACCTCGCTCTTCTTGACCTCTCAGCAGCTTTCAATGCTATCGACCATGGTATCCTTTTGGGCTGACTTAGGGAGTTGGGAGTAAGCGGCACAGTTTTGTGCTGGTTCATTTCTTTCCTCCAAGGTCAGTCCCAATTGGTGTTGATTGGGAGCAAGAGGTCCAGCCCACAGCCCCTCTGTTGTGGGGTACTGCAGGGTTCGGTACTCTCTCCACTCCTTCTTAACATCTACATGAAACCACCAGGTGAGATCATCCGCCACCATGGGATGAGGTATCCTCAATATGCAGATGATACCCAATTATACATCTCCATCCTGGGTGATTTGAATGATGCTGTGACCACCCTTTCGCAGTGCCTGGAGGCTGTGGGGGTCTGGATGGGGAACAATAGGCTTCAGCTGAACCCTGGTAAGATGGAGTGGCTGTGGATTGGAGGTTCCTCTGTATCTGGGGGTTTACCATCTTTGGTTCTCAGTGGGGTTGCACTGCCCCAGACAGACCTGGTGCATAATCTGAGAGTCCTCCTGGACTCACAACTCCTGCTCGAGAAGCAGGTGGCAGTCATGGCCAGGAGGGCCTTTGCTCAACTGTGTTGCATGCCAGTTATGCCTTCCTGGATCAGGAGGCCCTCCAGTCTGTCATTCATGCCCTGGTCATCTCTCGTTTAGACTAATGCAATGCTCTGTACATGAGGCTACCCTTGAAGAGTATCCAGAAGCTACAGCTGGTTCAAATGCAGCCACACGGGCAATCTTGGGTGCCCCAAGGATGGCACATGTAACACCTTTGCTGTGGGAGCTGCATTGGGTTCCAGTTTGTTTCCGGGTCCAATTTAAGGTGTTATCACCTTTAAAGCCCTACATGGCATGGGTCCAGGTTACCTGAGGGACCATCTCACTCGTCACATCAACCTGTCCCACCCGGTCAGGCAGAGGTGACATGTTGTGGACCCCATTAGTGAGAGAATGTCGGCTGGCAGGGCCCAGGAGGAGAGCCTTCTGTGCTGTTGCTCCCACCCTACGGAATACTCTCCCCCCAGAGGTGAGGCAGGCCCCTACCCTCCCAAGTTTCCGGAGGGAATTGAAGACTTGGCTGTGCCAACTTGTGTGGGGCAAGAAGAGATACAACTGACCCTGGGGATGGCTGGCACCTTGAAGACACTCCTTGAGTTTATTAACACCTAATTAACATCAGCCTCTGGGAAGTATTATATAGGAAGTTTGTTATTGTAGTATATTTTAATTAATTAATTTTTATCTATTTTAATTAATGTTTATTCTATTTTTGCTGTAAACTGCCCAGAGTCACTCTGTAGTGAGATAGGCAGTGACAAATCTGAAATATAAATAAATATAAATAAAATAAATATAAACAAAATATTAATGTAGGGAGGCATCACACTGCTAACAAACTTGCCTATTCTCAAGGCTATGGTCTTCCCAGTTGTAATATATGGCCGTGAAAGCTGAACCATTAGAAAGGCTGAACAAAGAAAAATTGATGTCTTTGAATTGTGGTGTTAGAGAAAGTTATTGGGACAACCATGGAGTGCAAGAAGAACAAATAATTCAATATTAGATGTAGTAAAATCAGTCTGCTCACTGGAAGCACTAATAAGGAAGCTAAAGCTTAAACATTTTGGAAAGTATAATGAGAAGGCAAGAGGCACTGGAAATCTTGATGCTTGGAAAAAATCAAAGGCAAGCAAAAAAGGAGGCTGGCAGAAGACAAGGTAGCTAGTTACAATCATTTGATGATACAAGCATGAGATTGCAAAACTCAAAGAAGCATTTCCTGAGAAATCTTGGCAAAATGGTGTTCATCAGGTCACAGTGCTGGAAATGAAAAATAATTGAACAACAACAATGCAAGTAGAGCATAGGGATGCTTGCTGGATGCTGTCCCTGACTGGTAGGTTATGTCAGCATTTCCAGAGATGCATTGAGTGTGTGGTCTTTTCTGTATTTTCTATGTCTGAATTATACCCTCCTCTTTCTTGCAGAATGTACATTGGATAAGCCAGCAATTTCACCAGACAGCAGTGGCATGTTTGAGGATCCAGTGTCAACTTCCAAAATCATTACAGTGATCTCATCAAAGTTGCCTTGGAAAATTGTTCCAAATTGAAAAGCTACTGTGGGCAGTTTTCTGTGCACACACAGCACTTTCTCAAACCCATCCCATAAAATTTCAACGTACAGTATACATTCTTCCACTTATCCCATCAGTGATTTCTCTTTCTTTCTGAATCCCAGCAGCCTGCCTCCCACATGCAATCTAAATCTGGTGTTTCTATTATTGTAAATTATTTTTTTCAGAACTGTTTTTGTACAGACACACACACAGAGTTCTTAATATATGCTGCCTTTAGAAATGTAATCTCTGTCACTTACCTCTTGATCATGGCCCGAGTGTACCAAATGCAGGGGAAAGATTCCTTTAGCTCTGTCCTATAGTTTCTGTTCAGGTCTCTTCCTGCCAATGAACAGCGATAGTTTCCCACAACTACTCCATCTGGGTTCAGCATGGGCACAACCTTGAATATGAAGAGATCTCGGAGGAGCTGAGCATCAGGGGCATCACTCAGGATAAAATCTAAGAAACCTCTCATCACCCATGAGCTATTGGTTTCCCCAGGATGGACTCTAGCACTTAGTATAATAGCTTTTTTTGCGGCAGCAGCAGCACCAATGGCACTTTTGGACGGATTGGTAATAGTGAGGAGGTACACTGTGTTTCCAGCTAGACTGTTGCACAGAGGGCGGAGTTTGCAATACTGAGAATAGAGTGGATTACTTACCAAAGTCAAAAGATACCGTTGTAGATCGGAATAGGTGTAAGGATAGAATTGAGCAAAGTAACATGTGTCATAGCTGTGAGGAAAACACACTGTCCATGTGAGGCAATAGAGGGTTTGGCCATCTTCTGTGTTGTATTTATAATACTTGATATCACTACCCATCCTCCTCCAGCCAATACCCTGAGACTGAGCATCCTTCTGAGAATACATGAGAGGCTTCATCCCCATATTGTAGAGACTTTTGGCTTTCATCAAATTAACAATTGTGAAGCGATAAGTTACATCTTTTCTAGTATTTTGTACTCTGAAGTAGTACCACTGTGTGTACTTGCTGGTATAAAGATCCGTCCGCAAAGTGAGTTCATATTCATATTCGCCTCTGAAATGCAGCAAGAAGAACAAAGATGCATTAAAAGCCAGCAGCAGCCTCTTCCTCCAGGAAGAACTAGATAGTAGCATGTCCTACAGTCTTATTTAAAGATGAAGCAGAATGATTAGTTTTGTTATGGTCTTCCTCTCTGTGAATAGAGATTTAGCGCAAGTTCAGGGGTATACACTTTCCATCAACTTGTTAATGTGGCATATGGTTTGTTCTTTGTGTGACATATGTGGCCTTGACCAGGTTCTATTTTGGGGATATGGAAGTTTTAAGAGATGAAATTAGTGCCTTACGTCTTGCTGGTCTGTAGTATTTAGGTGACATGTTTCATCTGGAAATCAAAGTGGCTTAGGAAATCTTAGCAAAGATTATTCATCCTTATTTTCTCCCATTCAGCAAGGAAAGGGATGAGTTAAATTTATATCTAAGGTGGAAAAAAAGTAAGTAAGAAGAACATTCTTAGAATGGTGCTAACAAAGACAGCTAAATGGCTCTCTCCAAGGATCATGCGGTGTTAAAGGTTTCCCTAAAAATCTGATAGGAAAGCAGTGACTTTTTGGAGTGTCCAGGTGTGAAAATACCCCTTACGTTCCACTTATAAACAGTTACATGCAAAGTTTAAGAACCACTAGTCAAAGCTGTGAATTTAAATAAATCCTGAAGTGAACAGAAGCTGATGAAACCTCTATAGTACACCTTTCTGCAAATTTGAATACTTAATATTTATGTGCAATTGTTTAGAGATAATTTTAAAGAGTGAATATGGCAGGTGAAGAAAGTTGGTCAATATTTTATAGCAACTCCTTTGGTAGAAGGAACAACTTCAAAATGTTTTCCATATCCAGATAAGGGTCTTTCTTGTCTTGTTTTTGGATTTTCCTTCACTCCTCCTTGCAGATCTGTTCTAGCTCAGAAATAGTCTCAGGTCTCCTGGCATGCACTGCATGTTCAAGATTTTCCTATGGATTTTCAATAATATTCAGCTCTGAGCCATGGAAAGACCATTCCAAAACCTTTATCTGTCTTTCCTGTAAGCATGGCTAATTTGGAGATATGTTTCAAATTATTTCCTACTAAAATAACCAGCCTCTTTTCAGCCAATTTCATTGATTGTGGGACATTACCCATGAGTTACAGTATGTTGATACTGAGTTGAATTCATTATTCCTTTCATCCCTCAATATTTCCTGTAGTGTTGACTACCAAACAACTGCAAAGCATAGTAGCCATACTTAATGGTTGACAGGGTGTTTTTATTTCACATGCTTCACCCATTCTTCTCCAAATATACCTTGTGGTTGTGGCCAACAGTTCAATTTTTGTTTCATCAATCTACTTAGTTCCAAAATATTTCAAGGATTATCTGGGATGGCAGGTTGAAGTCCTCTACCACCACAAGCCTGGGAGACTCAACCACCAACTCTGACACAGAATGGAGCAGCTCAGGCAAGGAAACTGCTAGGTAGCAGGAAGGCCAGTACAACAGCAGAAATCCCATCTGCTCCCTAGAGCCCAACTTCACAATCAGGATTTCACATCCAGTAATCTCTGGAGCAGCATCTCTGACAGCTGCAAGAGTCTCTTGGATAGTAATAACCACTTCAATACCCCTGTCTTCGGGTTGTGGTCGATGCCACACCTGAAACTCATGGACATAATTCTGAGAAGATGATGCCTCTCCATGCCCCTCCAAGTCTCAATGCTATATGCTAGGTCATCCCTCTTATCTCTAATAAGATCCTGGATGAGGGAGGCCTTATTACAGGCCAACCTGGCATTTAGTAGTAGCAACTAGAACCCAGGACTGCTGAGGATCCAGTGCCCTGGTACTGGGGCTAAGCCCAAGAAAGAATCATACAAGGCACTGAATGCAGATTCTTTGAGAATGGCTCATCCCCTGGCTGCCATCATCTCTCTCTCTGCCCCTCTGTTCACTTAGGGATTCACTAAATATATAATTTGACCAGGGGGCCTAAACTTTTGTATGCAAATGTATCTGCAACTAAAAACAGTATGATTTCTTATGCCTTTCATAAATAAGTCAGAGGAAACTAGTATCTTGGGTAAATGTTGCTGAAAGAAACAAAACGCAAGCATGTAAAAGTATCGTTATGGTTATAGCTATCAGCTAACTGCAGTTTAAAAGAAGTGATTGCAAATAGCCCTGTATTATCAGGAGATATAAAAAGAAGATGACATCGTGTTGGTCTGTTAGAAAAGATCCAAAATTCACAGTCATAAAATAAAAAGCAAAGTTTTTAGTTCTCTAGAACTTTTAATCACTCTGAAAGTTAAGCAAACCAACACAGGGAGTGGGGAAGAAGAGTGAGAGATGAAACTTAGCTAAAGATATCTTAGATGCAGGCACTTCTCTTACAATCTGACATGGAGAATCAGATCTGCTACTGTACAGAAAGCCTCTACGCTGATTCCCTCTTTTAAAAAGTTACTTATTACTATTGCAGTATAACTATTCCAATGTTCTCTCATCCATGGAAATGAGATGAAACCCAATTATACCAGATCTGAAGCTCACTTACACAAATTAATTATTACAGCACATATCTCCATGCAACAATGCACACTTTTAATCAGATTGGCTACCAGCCTAATTCTAAAATGGAATGTTTTGTGGGATGCTAATCAGGAATTGAGAGAGAGTAATACTGGTAAGAATTATGGACTTTCAGATGGATGTACATGTCCTTTTCTTGCCCAGAAACCCATGAAAAGAGCTAGCAGAATCTTTGCTACATCTATGTACATTCACCTCCTTCGCACTTAGTCTAGACTGGAAACATTCGTTGTGCTAATGATGAAGATTTTTCTCTGGCCCTGTTCTTGTTGTTGTTTAGTCGTTAAGTCGTGTCCAACTCTCCGTGACCCCATGAACCATACTGCGCCAGGCCTTCCGGTCCTTCACTGCCTCCCTG